GGTTTCTAATCCAGACACACCTATCCCTCAGTGTGTCCGAATATGAATGTTTGTTTATTCTCCAGAAGGGTTTTTTTTTTTTTTTTTTTTTTTAAAACCGTAACATAAAAAATACATTTATGATCATTACCTTCATAAAACTGATACAGGTAAGTACTTTGTGTTATGATATTGCCTTTATCTTTAGTTTCTTCTACCAAATCCAACGTCTGACTCAAATTGTCGTCCGTCTTATACCCGTCCATATTGACAACTGCATACAAGGAGCATGATGTTTTTTTTTTTTTGTGATAAGAATGCACGAAACGGTCAACCTTGAACTTCTGATCCATATTAGCACCAGGATTTAACGGGAATATGCAAAACAGCAACTATGACATTTGTAAAATATACTCACTTGTCAAAGTTTGAAAGAACATAGCCAAAGTAAGGTTACTAGTGGGGTTTCCTGTAAAAAAAAATATTTTTCTTATAATTCATGGTTCGATTTTGTCAATAAATATGCTATTCATTCTTTTTCATTTAATAATCAATGTTAACAAATATAGGGTTTAGAATTAGGTGTAAGTTAGTTATACACCTCGATCCCTCGGTGTATAACTATTACTGAAACTAATAGTTGCGAATCGTGATGCGAAGCAAAAACGGTTTCAGTCGCATCAAATTTATAAATTGTTATTTACACATTCTATATCATATGGGGGTAAAATTGTCAGTGAAAGAAGTCAGCATGTAATTGAGAAAAGTTTTCAGATAATATTTCGAAATTAAGAACATTTGGTATACATATCAAGTTGAGTTCAACTCATTTTTTAGCAAAATTTAAAACTAATTTTAAGCATAACATTATATAAGATCACACTTTGAAGCTGATATGAACATTTAATGAATAATTTTTAGTTCAAGTACTTTTTTCCCACGACTTGTCAACATTTTTGTATATGAATGCCACTTTCTCATCATGAATACACCAAATAATAACGCTATCTCACACGAAGGCTATAGCTTTTAAAAGCCATTTCTCAAGGAGCAAATGTTACTGCCGAAATGATGTTCTAATGTAAAATAAAATGAAATAGATAAGTAAATATTAGAAAAACAAAAAAAAACAAAACAGCAAAGCAAATAAACAAGGTAGACAAAACTGAAAAGAGACAAAGTGTGAATAACATAAAAATTGTGGGTAATAGAAATGTTGTTTTTAAGTTGTTTTTAATAACTAATATAAAGCAAAATTGTTATGTGAAATTATCCTGTCCTGTTTTGAAGGTACCAATGTAAAGATCATCTTATTATTAAGTGCTCTTGTCACTTATCTTATAAGTGTTCTTGGAATTTTAAATTTGATCGTTTTTAGAATTAAGTTATTTTTAATTTGTTAGATAATTACCTATGCAGTGTAGTCCTGAAATGAGTGCAGTTTGTACATATTTTAAGGGTTTTTTTTAATTTTTAATAGACTTATGGATATGTTTTTATAAGACAAAAACTTAATCATAACTAAACGTATTTTTGATAATACAAGAAACAATATAGTTATTTAATGTTAATCGTACGTTAATGTGAACATTTTATTATCATAATACTCGCTTAATATTAATTTTCTTTCATATATTCAATTGAGTTTTCCAAATCATATTGAAAGCAAAATATACATAATGCACTACAATATTCTTTCTAAAACCAACATACATTGATCATTTGTCCCAAAAGAAATAATGGTATCCAATAGCTTAATTATTGAAAAGGTATATGGTATAAAGTATATCATATGCCGTTATTTACTATTAATAGAATCATTACTTATTTATTGTAATACTGACGTCATATTAGATTTTTTTTTAAATTTTAACACAAATCGGCTTATATCAGGAACATTTTTACAAAATTAACATAAATCACAAAGAACCCGATATTGGTTGTATAACCGTTATTAGATAAATATAAAAAAAAACTCTTCATGCTGTGTAAATATCGGTTTAAGCAAGAGTTGAGACTTGTTTTATTATATTTTATTATACAAATATAGTCCCTCTGTTCATGTCAAAACTGGAGACCTTAGCATCGTAAACAATGCACATCTTTAAGAGTTATTGGTCGAAAGGTCCGAAATACCGAAATTATCAGCCCATCAACTGTAAGAATAACTTAGGTTACTAATAGATGCAATTAATGACTTTTCCAGGAAATGGCTAAAGCACGAGCCAGATGAACCAAAACTGAAAACTTTATCTGAATGGAACAAAGCTGCTAGTCATGCATTCAGAAGCGCGTTCAAAATCTACAATGTACTATGAACACATGGGTTTCCGCGAACCTTTCAAGAGCCCGAGGCTTTTGATTCGTTATCCCCTTTTCACGAAAAATATATTGTTCTTCCGGTAGAGAAAGCCTCAAACAATATTGTTTTTATATGCAAAAATCATTTTTTGGAATATCTCACTTAAGAAATATTCAAATAGAAAACTCTCTAAAATCAGTTTTTCTTACATTAATACTCATTTATCAGAATTATAGCCTGAAAGAAATCACTGTGTATACTCTAAGTTTTTTTTTACTGAACATTTTATACCCCTCCCCTGTTTCAATTTTTAAAAGAATTTGAAAACAAGACTTTAATTATTGCCAGCTTACCCTATTTGCATATTTTCTGATATAAAATGCCTAGAACCTGTTTAAAACTGTTTTGATAACATATTGAAAGCATATCAGAATACTATAAATGTTATGTTTAGCAGTCATTCATTACAACATTCAAGATTATATAAAATATCCAATCCTGCCTCTGTCTCCAGTCCACATCTTACTGTATGCCTATTTGTCAATTAAAGTTCACATTTTCTACCTCAAATGGTCAATTTAGAATTCTTGTCACAACAGTATCATCTGTAACCATATATCTGACACAATTTACCTAATAAATATACTAGAAGTGTTCAAACAAAGCCATATTTGCAATAGTTGTATGTATGCAGATACCAGTCTGAGATATAAATTCACTTAAAATGTTATAGAGATGACTGCTAACATCTAATTTTTGCATAACTTCCAAGCATAGTTATTGTTTTCTATATCAAGAACTTAAAAATCATAAAATCATAGCATTTACAAGTTAAATTATCTGTTTTATGACCCAGGGGGTAGGCAATTTTCTCTGTTTTTTGCCCCTGGGGCCTCAAATTTCCTAAATTATTCTGCTGTTTCTAGCAATTTGGAATATTTAGTACATATTCAGGATAGAACACACTATTGTAAGTTTTGTTGAGATATTTTTGTATTTCTAGCTTGTATTTTTTATGCCGTGGTGACAAAAAAGCAGATTTAGGTGTTACGGCTTACTTTTGGGTTAATGACAGGACACAAACATCCCATAAATAATATTCAGGAAGGATCGATGAGTTTCAATGACTGCGAAGAGTAAATATAAGCACTTCTTAACAATTTAATTTACAAACATGCAAATATTATGAATTAATTTTGTATTCAGGACTTTAAGTAAACTATGCATACTGTAAACTGTGAATTTATGCTGAGTCATCATATCTAAGGCCCAGGATTCTATCAATCTTCATGAAATATTTATAAAACTTCATATTTGAGTTAATTTCTTTAAAATCTGTGAGATAAAGCAAATTTGGTTAAATTCTGAATGTTTTCTTTTTTCACCCTATATAGGTTGCATTTCTGTAAATATTGACAATGCAATTTCCCATAGGAACTCCTTTTACGGCTAAAACTGTACCACTTTTACTATGAAGTTTTGAACACAATCTTATCCTAGAATTGAAAGTTCATATGCACTACAATTTTTTTCAAAGGTCAAAATATAGGGCTGTGCGGCATATTTTCAACGTTTATATGCCCTGAACTTTTCAGAGTTTAAACTAACACTAATTTTCTTAACTACCCCTACCTCGAATGAAGGGTTACCACAGATTTCAATGTAAACAATATGCACATGTATATTTACTGGTAACATTCCCAAGTTATGTCTCTATGAGATGGAACACAGAGAGCATAACTGGGAACCAGTATGTAAACAAAATTAATTTTCTATGAATATTCTAAATCTCCCCAAAAGAGGCGTGGTTTGAGAAACAGCTGTATTTACAAAGTGCAACCTATAGACATGAGTTATTGACATGTAAATATTTATTTTATATTATTGTTTAGTTTATTATATTCAACTGTTTTTAGATAAAAGTAACTATCTCAGATACGATTGATCGAATATGTTTTTGAACGTTTAATGTACCTGGAATATTAATAAATGACCAGCTGACATCTTACCAGTTTACGCATATTTCTCTGAATTTGACACAGGCATTGAGATTTGCAAAAACATAAGAAAAAAAAACTTTTGTAGTCTTTTATTCATCAGGTATGATCAATTCCAAAAGATTTGGAAGCCAAAAATATGAGAGTTGATTTGGAAAACAAGTGATACTACTCATTATTTTGATTAATGATGAGGAACATAAGCCATAATTATGTTGTGGCTTTCTTGTCGCGATAGAATAAATATCAACGATTGCAGAAATGCTAGGTGTTAGTAGACACATATTTACATGTTATTTTTAACATTTATTGGTTTAAATTTATTTTATGTCAAGTATAAACAGATTTAAGCGTCTTGATTGGGATCCTTATATTTCTGTATTCTTTAATCTTTTAGTAATTTTTTTCATTTTTTTAATAATTTTAGCCAATGATTCTATATATTTTTATATTTCGGTGACCCATTATTCTCTCTCTTCCTTATATTTTTTTGCCAGTTTGTATCTTTCCTTTAAATGTTTTGGCTTTTTTTCTCTAACCTTGGCTCATTATTCTCTATTCTGTAAACCACATCAAGACCCTCAGTTATACAGGTATGTTTTTTTTTCTCTTACCTTGAATCTCTATTCATATTCTGTAATCTGAAACCAGACTTTGAGGTAAATATGTATCAGTACTTTAAACTTTCATTCTGATTGGTTGACTCAATAGTATTAAAAATATAAGATTAAGCTTTTCTCAGTACTTTGTTTACCTCTGCTAGAAAGATGTTTTTCGAATTAATTTTATTTTGTTTTTATTCTCGTACATTTGATTGGAACACATTTAAAGGAGCAGTATACGAACATCATGTTATAATGCCAGAGAGCACAAAAACATGGGTGAATCGATCTTTTGCATTAGAAAATATGATGAAAAACATTAACGTTTACCAGAAACAAGCAATGAAAGCAGGAAAAGAGGTAAGTTGTATACAAAAAAGGGATTTCAGAGTATTACACTGAATACTTTACAGTCAGTACAATAACAATGAATAATACCTGGGTAGAAAGTTTTGATTTATATAGTTGTAATTTTAACGATAGGATTAGCAAAACTTGCTAAAACATTAAATGAGTGTTGATGATCAAGTGTAAAACCAACAGATAAATGACAGAAATAAAAAAAGAGAGAGAAAACTCAACATTTATCGTCTGATTTTTATGTATTTTTATAAATGACCTACTTAACGATCTGAACATGAAATGATTTCATTGTTATGAATAGATTTATGTCCAATCCAATAAAACATTTTTTAAAACCATACACAATGGTTTGATTCCAAACCTTTTTATTTCTTCGTGTAAAAGTAATTTACATACTGTAACGTTTGTTTGTTTTTTGTTTCAAATATATATATTTAAGTGATCAATTAGATTTATTTTGATGACGATTGAATTATAAATAGATTATCCCGGTTCACACTTTTTTTTATTTATAAACGTAGACGATGTATATAGAGAACAATACACTGTTTATTATATTTTTTTATTTGTAAAACAAATATAAAAATGTATTGTATGCAATTTTAAGTCATTCTATGCAATAATAGTCTTCACTGTCACTGACTTTTACCAAAGTTTTGAACCACTTTTAATTTAGCATGTTTAATAATATTATTTATTGGACCCTCGATAACACTTTTTCAATTTTCTACTAATTACAATAACTTTAGTTTGATGTGCACTGTAATTCCGTTTGATTAAACGATCCAGCTATTCATTTTCCTCTGTAAACTTTGATGCTAGAAAAAAGAGTCATATTTCTTCAAAATCTTCCTGTATCATAAATACCTCACAGGTGCATTTTTCGTCATCAAAAATATTCCTCAAATATATAAATCTTACTTGATCTCCAAGTCTAAGCATAAAGCTGAAATGTTTCGTCAACTTTGCAGAATGGACTGGAAAGATATGTCGATAATCTTTATAACAGTTTCTTTGTTTTCTGATTTTACTCCAATCAATGACATGTTAACTTGATTGTGTTATCCATGGTATCTTTGTATCCATCTGCAAAACTTGAAATGTCTATGTATCTGTAAGACTGTTTGTAGGAAAAATAGCGATATATTAGACATTTAATGGTTTTTATAACACGCTCGGACACTCATTACTTTACCTGATTAAAAGCATAAAAATGTGTAATTCCTTCTTTTTTAAAATCTATCTGAACTCTTTTTGCCTTGAATTCCTGTCCCATATCCATTCTTATTCTATTTGGATCTCTTCTATGTTTGAATATTTTTCGTAAAATTCCAGAGTGCATATTATCTTCTATCAGGGGTACGATCAGTTTTAACACATCAGTATAACGTTTAAAAAACTGGCTTTGAACAAGAGTAACATTCATTATAGACGGTCCGACTTTTCTCTATATACGGTCAGATTTATAAACAGATTTGTCTTTTGGCCAATTTATCTTTAATTTGGCCTAACTTCGTTTTAAAGTTTGTGAAGAGATCCAGAAACTTGAAGCAAGATACATAATAAATATTACGGAAAAGTTTCACACTTTTATGGAATACGATGTCTTTACTAATTATGTTATGCGCATTAGCAAATAGTCGTTACATAATTTGAAAAGAATTAAAAGTTTACGGATTTTTTTGTGATAACTCTTGAAGTTGTTTAACTTTATAGTATTTAGAAGGTGTTATCGCTTCATGCAAGATAATTACTTGACATGCAACGAAACTAGCTTGTAATAGATAAATCGAGCGCTCTTTGCGCTTGAGTAGAAATGATGATAAGGACTTTATTTAAAGAGGGTGGCTCAATTAACATTCATTAATCTTCTTTGAGTTCCACAGAAAAAATGTACAGAACTTGTACAGAACTTGTATTAAAAAGATTACAATTATTGAATACATAATTTACATTCACGCTAAAAGATGTCTGTAGAACCAAAAAAAATATACAATACAGCAACAATAACTTTTATGATTATGATTCTGTATATTCCTTTCAGGGAGTGGATATTTTAGTTTTCCCAGAAGACGGAATTTATGGATATATCTTCAATAGAAAAGGCGTGGAATCTTATCTAGAATACATTCCGAATCCAGAGCTAGAAAAGTGGAATGCTTGTGATGAACCAGATAGATATAACGATTCTGAAATACAGTACTCTCTTAGCTGTATGGCAAAACACAATGACTTGTATATTGTGGCAGATATGGGAGATTACCAACCATGCAGTCGTGGAAATGATCCAAAATGTCCGCCCGATGGTCATTACCAATTCAATACAGCAGTAGTATATGATAAAGATGGTTATCTTATAGCTAAATATCATAAAATCAATTTATTTTATGAATTTCAGTTTGATTTTCCACCTGAAAAAAAGTCTGTGTCTTTTGAAACCCCTTTTGGAAAATTTGGGGTAATGATTTGCTTTGATATAATTTTCCGGAATCCAGCCGTAGATTTGCTAGAAAACCATGACGTTGACAGTATAGTTTTTCCAACGGCATGGATGGATGCACTACCTCTGTTAGCTGCGATTCAGTTTCATTCTGCGTTTGCTGCCGGTGCAAATGTAAATTTTCTTGCCGCAAATATTAAAAAATCGGAAAGCAAATTTCATGGAAGTGGTATTTACTCACCAAAAGGATACCTCGATTTTCATTACAGTGAAGACAATGTAGGAAGACTTCTCATAGCAGAAATTCCTATTCATGATAGGAAACGAAACTCTTATCCCGAACCTAACATGCTGATAGAAGATAACAATTCAAAGACTTCCAACGATAGTTTTCAGTCCCTTGTTTTTCATGATCTTTACAATTTTGTACCATTATTTGATATTCAAGGTAAAAGAACAATATGCCATAACAACCTTTGCTGTTCACTCACCTACGAAAAGCAGACGGATACTGATGAGCTTTTTGCCTTTGGTGCCTTTGATGGACTTCATACATTTGAAGGTACTTATTACATTCAAGTTTGCATATTATTGAAGTGCAAAAACAGTAATCTTACAAGTTGTGGAGAACCAGAGGAAAACAGCATAACATTTTTCAAACAATTCCAAATCGATGGTACATTTGATACTTCATACATATATCCAGAAATTTTGTTGTCTAACACTAGCAATTTACTGCTTTTAGCGGCTCCGAACACTTGGATATACAAAAAAGGAATGCTTCAGAGTAAAACTCAGTTAGAATATCCAGTCGTGTCAGCTGCCATGTTGGCCAGGGTATACGAAAAGGATCATATATTGATATCCGACAAAAATCCAGACAATAGAATTCAGACTGATTTTACGACAGATCAGGAAAATCCAATGTTACCCGAAAGAATCGTCATAACTTTTTATAAATTTTTTTCGGCAGTATCCAACTACATTTATAGATTTCTTCTGTAAAAGTAATATATTGCATTAAAGTTTTTTTTTTTTTTTCATTTTTATTTTACATTATCTTTTAATAAATCATAAGTGTCAACTTTTCAAAACTCCAGAGTGAAAGATCGTCAATGAAAAAAACCCAGTTGTGTAAGTAGATTAATCGTACTATCATTTTCGCACTTTATAACTGTAAACATAATAATGCCAGTTGTATATTTTTTTATTCCAGGAGCTGTTTCTGTATACGCACGTTGCTTCACATGAAAAATGTTAAGCATTTCACTATTGAGTGTTTAAAGTTGAATTGATTGTATGAAAAAGCACAATCTAGTTGCGGGATTTAATATTTATATGTTGAATATTTGTTTTCGGTTCTATTATTATATGAAAGGATAAAACAATCATTTTTAACACTAGAATATATGTTGTTCACGCGATTTTTCCTTGGAGGCTGTAGTATATTATGAAAAAAACTTTCTTTGCGGTATGGGTTTGCTCATTGTGGAATGCCGTACGACGAACTATAGTTGCGAGTTCTACTACATTCGGTTATTGGAAAGTTGTTCCATTATCCATCATAGTACAACTTCTTTTTTGATATTTACAGGAATTTTCAATTGTCTTGTAATATATATTAAACAGTAAATGACTACACTCGTTGTTGTTCTATTTTAGTAGCCGGTCAAACGGAGTTTCATGTAATTGATATTTGAAATATCACCCATCACAAAATCTAGTGAAGGACAACAGAACTGTTGGATAACTAGAACATCGGGCACTACGGCATTACAAGTGCCACATTTGCAGACCAATGGACCTTCAGATCAATAAACCTATGGACATTTGTTAGGTAAAAAAAAAAACCAAAAAAAAACACCCAATCGTTCTGTTTCACACAAAAATATACTATGGGTTTGCAATTGGTTTAGTTCGTTCATTGCATGTCTTATTTCAGATCAACAGTTGTGCATATGCAGATCTATAATTACGCGATTAAAGTATCCATGATGACTGCAATGTTGAGAAAATATTTAAATCGTGCAATTCTACCATATCTCATTTTGAAATGCAATTTCTTTTCTTTGTAAAATACAATGGTGGTAAACAATTTTTTTTAATTGTTGTTAAAAATGACAATTGAAAAAAAGAAAGGAAATCCGCAAGAAGAATCATACTGCCATGTAATGGCAAATGTTTCTCTTTTCAAGATGATCCCCTATTTCATTAAATCAACTTTTAATTCCAAATTTAAATATTTCTTGATTTATATAATCATATTTATACGAACAATTTTAAAACGGGTATGAATTTACAAGTCGATGCGATAAAGCCGTAAATTATCGGCAATAATTGCAAGTACGTTATTGTATGACTAAGGTATCACTCCACAGTTAGAAAATAAAATTAAAATTGAACCACAAAATGTTTAATTATTCCTGGCTTCTAATACATTAAGCCATCTGTTTGTGTCATACATGTAGATATGTATATAATCAGTATCTTCCATAGATTTTCAAAAGTTAAAATGGTGAAATATAATTCCTTTTTTGTGTATCCATGGCTACATTCTGCATTTATTTACCATAAAATATTGCAAAAAGGGGCAGGACAATCACATATTCCCAAAACTTTGTTCCAAACTAGAATTTCAATCCCTTTGAATGAAACCTTTTCTGAAACTATTGACATTAATCTACCAAATGATCAAATACAAATTTGTTCGTGCGACAAAAAGTTGGATAATTTCCGGACCAATATCTGGTATGGATATGAAAATACAGACTGTCATACAGAAAACAGCCAATGATACATACATACTGTGAAGGCTATATCAATCTTCAGCTATCCAAAAATGAATTTTATTGCACACTAACATTCATATTTTAAAAATCCACAGGGGCCAAATGTGAAACTACACACCTAACTGTGAAGTGCTACCTAATGACCCGACAATGAAATCAATACGAGTATCGAGTGTTGAGTGTCAAGTCCAGATAATATATTTTGTCCCAGGTTTCAGCAAGGTTTTAAATGTTCTTAACATGTACAAATAACATAGATTTTGTTACGTGCTGTTCCTGAAGCAAGAGCATTGACATTTGTATATTTATTCCCATGAACCTTAAAATATGTATCCAGATTTCTCTCAGGTCTTCATTTTAATTCATTTATGAACTTGCTTCGTCTATGCACACAAACATGAACATGTTGTTTTTAACATATACAGGTAAACATTTATCTAGGTAAAGTTTAAAGAGATATAACGGTCTGGACTTCCTTTCTGTATTCCCTTATCTTTTCGGTCTTTTTTCCAATTTTTTGCCCATAATTTTCAATTCTTTATATCTAAATACCCAATTATTCTCTATTCTTTAAATTTTGTTGCCCCATTTTTCTGGTTTTTTTTCAATTTTGTTGGGTTCTTTTTTTCTCTTACCTTTGCTCAATATTTCCCATTGTGAACATCCCACCGAGACCCTCATGTATGAATCAGTACTTTAGACGGTTTTTCCAGTCGAAGTGGGCAGAATTGTTGTTTACAATTTCAACCATTACATTTTCATTCTAATTGATTGCCTCAATAGAGTTTAAGTATTGAAAATATAGAAATAACATTTTTGCACTACTTCTACTGCCGGAAAGATGTTTTTCGAAATAATTTTATTTTGTTTTTATTCTTGTACAAATTCATTAGATTTTAACACATATAAAGGAGCAGTATTCGAACATAGTGTTATAATGCCAGAGAACACAAAAACATGGGTGAATCGATCTTTTGCATTAGAAAATATGATGAAAAACATTTACGTTTACCGGAAACAGGCCATGAAAGCAGGAACAGAGGTAAGTTGTATACAAAAAAGGGCTATTTTCTGCTTTATTTTTTGGTTGGTATCTCTTTGAAACATTCCCCGTTTCCATTGTCTATTATTCTATAGTATTCTTGTTACTGATATCATTACTAGAGGCCAATATAATTAATCGGTTGTTACTACTACATGTTTATTCTAAGACTTCGATCTTTATCTGCCGCTCCAACTGCAAATGTTATAAACCTCAGAGTATCATATATATAAAAACAAAGTCAATGAACTTCAAGCACGTGTAAACAGTTATTGTCAATCAAAATAAGAAAGGCGGAGTCTCAATAAATACAAAAAGATGAGATTATCATCACGATAAACCAATATCACTATAACCCCAACCTTGAGACACTCAATTAACTTAACACAGTGCATTAAGTCCATTGCATTGCAGGTTTATGTTGTACAATGTATATTGAATTTAATGAACTACAATTACATCCCAGCTCCTTTGTTCTATTTGGGGTGATCTGAGCCGGATCACCCCTACCAGATCACCCTAGCTTGAGTTTCTTTGTTCTGCATGCTTTCCTTTGTTCTGTAACATTTTGGCGGGAATGTCAAATCCATAATAAAACTAAGAATTATTTATACGGAAAAGACTTTTTATGTAGAAAAAATCCAGTGTATTTACAAACAGCTTGCAATTTAACGATCATATGAAACCAATTCAAGAAATGTTGAACCATAGAAAAAATATAAAAAATGTTATTTCAAATAAAAAGTAAACAAACACTAAATGAAAAATTTTGATTGACAAATTTGAAGACTTTGTGAGTATTAATTCGAAAAATTTCTCACAATGTTAGATATCATCAAAATCGTCTGATCTGTAATTTTACCGATTGTGTCTTATTCCCGATTACTGTGGATTCATTCATATTTGTGGGTACCAATTTTCGTAGATTGAAAAAAAAATGTAAATTCGTGGATGTTTTATTTTTGTGACCTGCCAAAGTCTGCAATCAAGCATATAGAAAATGTGTACTTCGTAAAAAGATGAATCGGAGTTCACCTTTACCCACGAATCCACGAAAATTGATATCCCACGAATAATAATGAATACACTGTATGACTTTTTGACTGAGTGTGAATTAGCAGGCAGGGTGATGTGTGTATAGTAGGAGACGATTATCTTGTCGACGAACCCGGTATCGTTTTTGGAGTTCTTTCGAATCACTCAGTTTTTATTTGTTTGTTACCTTGATTAATATCTTCCTAATCGATTCACGATATTTGAACATCGTAAAACTACTGTTAATACAAACTAAAGGTCAGGATAGACTGTCCTACCTTTCCATTCACGCCAAATCTGACCAAGGACACTGTTTTGTCCCTTTACAGCACTACTCAGATTAGTTAATATAACCTGATTAAACTCTCCTATATGTGTCGAGTGGATTGTTCAACAGATCTGCCACTTCTTGTAACACATAATGGTTCTGAAGATTCCCAAATCTTTAGCAATTTCTAAGACCCTGGAGTAATAATCCTCTACAAGTAAAAACTCATCGTCGTCTCCAATAAAATATATCAGTACCAACTATCATCTACGGTAGTTCTGGAGTTTCGCTCTCAGCTATAGGCTCTTCCGTATTTGACCTGTTTTCTAAACATAATCCCCATTTTGATATGAAATCGTAAATTGAACATTAATTCCTGGCCAAAAACACAGTTTCTTGCTTGTTTTCTATTCGTTTGATGTGTTTGAGCTTTTGATTTTGCCATTTGATTTGACTTTCCGTTTTTAATTTTCCTTGGAGTTCGGTATTTTTGTTATTTTACTTTTTACTTTATTTTTCTATTCCCCTACGCCTTTCGTGTAGTTTGTTGAGCGTCTCTTTCACATGTTTACACATATTAATATCTTCCCCTTTAAGATAATTCCATCACCATCGGATAACTCATCTATCATTCTGAGATCCTCACTTTTTCATCTGGTCGTCCATCTATTATTAGCTTTGTCAATGTTTGTAGAGTATCACCCGTTAAAATTTCATCTCTTATTTGCTAAAGATTTCTATTTGTCAGATGTGTTTACTTTAACGTTGTTTACAAAACCCTCTTTACCATTTCCTCTTCATTATGTGCGTCGATCTTTATCAGAGCTCTTGATAGCAAGTCTTAGACTATTAATTCATTCCCTGGTTTATACTTAAGTGAGAAATCATATTTTTGTAACCACGATCATGTCTAAAGGATTTGTGGTCTCTTTCGACATTATAAATAGTCTAAATTGATATTTTCATTATTACGCACTCTCTTTGATTAACCTGTATTGTATACAGGAATTATTTTATTCGCATTATTTCTAATGTATGATGTTTAGTAACATATTACCAGTAATTATTGCATAACATTCGAAATGATATATAAATATCTCTGTTCACTGAGGCATTTACGCAGTGTTCACCGATATATCATTATTAGATATGTATATGTCACTAGTAATTTGGTTGTATATCATAGTATACAATTAAGTACAAGAAAACTTCATGCAAATAAGCAGGAAAATTGGGTAAATGTCAAAGGTCAAGGTCATGTTTAAGATTTTGGGTCGAAGTGCTCTATTGACTTTTTATACGAGTTTTCTCCCCTTATATATAAGAAAATGCATTATTACCAATTTAGATCTATAACACTTAATTCCCTTTGCACATATATTTTTTCATTGAAAAGAGTTACCTTTAACAGAAATACATTCGTAGTCACAAATATCCCATTTATGTATCATGCTATTTTATTTATATCTAGATTGATGTTCCAAGAATAAAACATTATGAATGAAATTCGGTAAATGCGATTTTGTTTTAAATATATTTATAACAAGCATTGAGGGGAAGGTTGGGCGCTCACAAAATATGTTTAATTCCGCCAAATTCTTAATTTGCCTCTCCCAAGTCAGGAGCCTATAATTTAGTAATTGCCGTTTTTTGCTGTATATCATATTTGTTTTTCGTTTGAATTGTTTAACATTTAATCATGTCGGGGACCTTCATTGCTGACTATATGGTGTTATTTTTTCTCATTGGTGAATGGCCGTAAGGTGACCTATAATTGCTTACATTCACATTATTTAGAATTCGGTGGATGGATAGTTGTCTTATTGTTCAACATTTGCACATCTCCTTTTTTTAAACTGATGATGCATATGGTTGCATTGCTAACAATGTCTTATCAAAGACATTTATTTACACAAGCTAATGAATTTGAGTCACAGTTTGATCTTAACATGTCTGACTGAAAGATGTTATGTCATGTTAATAATTTTTCTGATATTTTCCCGCGGGAGAATCCATTACTATTCCGATAACCGTCAATTCGATACTTTTCGGTTTCATTTTAGATAATTCAACATTTATTAATAAGCACCATTGAATAAAAGCTACTTCATACTCTGAAATGTAGTAAATCGTTTTTTATCGATCGCAAGCTAAATGTTCAAACAGCACAGTTGTGTGGCTACAGTACAGTGGATATGTCTTAAAATTGATTGAAAGATTGAATCTTAATTACTTCCAAACCATTGATCAGTTTTTCGAGTTCGGTTCAGATCAAATATATTAGCTAGTGTTTTATCTTGCTCATAGACGTATTTGAATGTCTGCAAGTAAATAAAGAGGATACCTAAAACAAGTCAGATTATTGGTTATACCGTTATTTACCTGTATTTTTACAGAGTACAATTTGCAAACTTTCACCAAAAACCGGCATGATTTCTCTTTTTTCCTTTTTTTTTCATTTCTGTCAACAATGCCACACATTCGATTTTCTCCGTTACACTTTGAAATGCTCATAAACAAAGTGCAAACCGAAAATGGTTCTTTGGTATATAGAAAACGATGAAATGTGTAATTGATGGTCATTGCAAACCGAAAACACACTAGGTTGTTGGTCATTGTAGTAGCATGAATCAATTGCTTTATCTTGTGACGAGAACATCAATTTATCATTTATTCGGTTCATGTACACTAATCTTGGTATATTTATCTTCTATTGATAACTTGTTTGTTCTTTCTCCGTTCTTTTATTGCTTGATTATTTGTCTTTTTCCCTTTACTTTGCTCTAGTTTTTGTTGTGATGAAAACTGTTATTTTATTACTTTCAATCTTTTTGCCTTCTTTTATATATTTTTTCTTATCATAAGCTACTCAATAGAAAATAGGTAGGAAAGAACTTTCTTTAACTTATAGAATACCACTAATACAAAGGGGGATTTAAAAGTTTACAATCTATTTGTAAACAATAAATTGTTACATTTTACCACAAGATCTATTATTTTTAACATTCATCTACAAACACATTCAAACACACAACTTTATTGTGAAAACTTACCTCCGAATGTGGAAACGTTGAAAAAATAGTAGTGGAAATCTATGTGGGATTTCAAATCTAAGACCTTAAAAGCCATTAATATTTTGTTTACAGAAAATTTTAAGCGCTTTTTCTTCTATGATTAAGAGTCATTGTGTCTTTTTAGTTTGAAAATGCAAATATAAACCTTTAAATCTAAAAGGTAAGCATCAAATAATAGAATTTATGAATTCATTTAAGCATGCTTACATTATTGGCCGTTTCATTTCCTTCCAAATATAGGCTATCAGTTATCTGTCATTCATTTATTCGAACGAAACGGACGGAATTTTATCAAAACACTAAATTTCTTGTACAACCTAGCATAATATTTTGTATATGAACATATTTCTGCTGTTTATGTAATATTTTTTTCCGGGTGAAGTTCTTAGGACCCATTGTGTAAATCGTCAAAAATGCAGTATACGGAGAACATCCAGTGTATTGTCTACTGTGTTTTGTGCGTAGTTTGCTGTTCTGTCTGTTTCTACTATATACTTTTAGAGATCAGTAGATTTGAATATGTACAATGCTTGTATGTGCTCGGTTAAATTCTGTTCTGTTTAATTATGAGCACTTTTGCTGCGTTTCTTTTAAATATGCGTAATTTTCTTTTCATTCGAAACATTCGACATTGTTGGTTTCTGTTTTCCAGGACCCACCAAACAAAATATACCAATCTCTGTATCCCAGGATTCATTAAAATTATATGCATCATTAATTGAAATACTTAGTTATCTAGATAGCTAGTTATCTAGTAAGTTATCTAGTTATCTTTTTGTTGTTTGCCAATATGAAAGGTGACTACATCCCATTAAATTATCTATTTACTCTGTATATTTTAAAGGGGCATTAGCTACGAGATATAAAAAAAATATTATGTTTTTGTTCAATCATTAATGCAAGTGAAATAGTGAAATAATAATTCGCTTTTAGCAGTCAGTTTGGTTCTATTTTGTCAAAATAAGCTAAGAAACATCGCTGATGAATTATTCACTTTTAAGTGAATAATTCGACCTCATTGAATCCGTATTCATGTGACCTTCAATTTAACCCCTTAGCTGGAGATGGGTTATGCATGTATTCAGCTATTAATAGGAAAAGAATGTCAACATTGAAAGTGAAACAAGGATGAACCATTTGGTTGACTAATTAGATCCCCAAAAAAGTCATTCTTATACAGGTAAAAACGATTATAAACAAACTTTTTAGCCTACAATATGGAATCAAACAGACCTAGGCAAATCCAATTGCACGTGGTCGCTATCTATTTGTATTTATATTTATGTTTATATCGGGTTAAATTACCGTCGGCATTCTTCGGAGGTCATCTCGATGGTTGATTAGATGACGTCTAGACAAAAAGTCACAAGAAATGCTGATACATATTATCAAGTCCATGCATTGTTAATTGTTTATTTTGGACTTATTGCAATTTGGATATTCATTTTAGTATGTTTTAAATCAAATATGAGAATTTTAGTCAAATCGGTGAACAAGAATTTGACAGCTAATGCCCCTTTAATTGTTTTCTAGTTAGATGTGTAAATAATTGTGTAGTTTTGTAATAAAGTTGTCGCCAAATACCGCCATTTCCATGTTTTGGGTCATTGTGCATAACAAATAAACTGAAAAAGTAGGAAAAATCCAGAGTGTAACAGTCGTTTGTATAATGATCCATTTCCTAAACTGGAACACATGTTTTAAAGCAGTTCATTTATTTATAAATAAATTCATTAAATGGATACAAACTTTGCATACTCCTTTTACATGTTTTTGAAGAAAGTTAAATAGAAAGCTATTCCACTCGTTACATGTTAAGAACACTATAAAATTTGACGACATTTACTTACAAATTATGTTTCTGTATATTCGTTTCAGGGAGTGGATATTTTAGTGTTCCCAGAAGACGGAATCTATGGATATATCTTCAATAGAAATGGTGTGGAATCTTATCTAGAATACATTCCAGATCCAGAAATGGAAACATGGAACGCTTGTGATGAACCAGATAGATATAACAATACAGAAATTCAGCACTCGCTTAGCTGTATGGCAAAACACAATGACTTGTACATTGTAGCAAATATAGGAGATAACCAACCATGCTGTCGTCAAAATGATCCTAAATGTCCGTCCGATGGTCATTACCAATTTAATACAGCAGTAGTATATAATAAAACTGGTTATCTGATAGCTAAATATCATAAGATCAATTTATTTTATGAATATCAGTTTGATGTCCCACCCGAAAGAAAGTATGTGTCATTCGAAACCCCTTTTGGGAAATTTGGAGTAATGATATGTTTTGATATAATTTTTCGGAATCCAGCTATTGATTTGCTAGAAAACCATGACGTTGATAATATAGTATTTCCAACAGCATGGATGGATGCGCTACCCATATTAGCCGCGATTCAGTTTCATTCTGCGTTTGCTGCCGGTGCAAACGTAAATTTCCTCGCTGCAAATTTAAAAAAATCCGATTTCAAAGTTCATGGTAGCGGTATTTACTCACCAAAAGGATATCTAGATTTTCATTACAGTAATGACGATGTTGGAAAACTTCTCATAGTAGACATTCCTATTCACGATAGGAAACGAAACTCTTATCCTGAACCTAAAAATCTGACAGAGGAAAACAATTCAATGACTTCTTTTCAGTCCCTTGTTTTTGGTGATCTTTACAATTTTGTACCATTAGTTGATATTAAAGGTAAAAGAACAATATGTCATAACAAACTTTGCTGTTCACTCACCTACGAAAAGCAGACGGATACTGATGAGGTTTTTGCTTTTGGTGCGTTTGATGGACTACATACATATGAAGGTACTTATTACATCCAAGTTTGCATATTACTGAAGTGTAAAAACAGTAATCTCACAAGTTGTGGAGAACCAGAGGAAAACAGCATAACATTTTTCAAGCAATTTAAGATCGAAGGTACATTTACTACTTCATACATATTTCCCGAAATTTTGTTATCTAACGCTAGCGATTTACTACTTTTAGCAGCTCCGAACACTTGGAAATACGACAAAGGAATTCTTCAGAGTGAAACAAAGTTAGAATATCCAGTCGTGTCAGCTGCCATGTTGGCGAGGGTATATGGAAATGATTTGACAATAAATCATGGAAATCACATGTTACCTGAAATTGTCGTGATAACTGTAATGTCAGCTATTTCAAACCTCGTAAGGTTTCTTCTGTAGATATTCTACTGCCTTATAGTTATTTGGCATTTTTTTATTTTATATAATCATTTAATCTTTTGTTTAATCGTGATTGTCAACTTTTTAAACTTCCAATTGACAAAACAGTTCTGTAAGTAGATTTATCGTACAGTCATTTTTTTAATTTATAGCTTTAAACATCATAATGCATTTTCAAGTTATATATTTTATTTTAGGAGCTCGAACTTTTGACATGAGAAATTTGAAGCAATTTTACTAAAACGAGTTCCAAATTTGAATTGATTGTATTAAAGGGCTCAAACCAGTTGCTGCATTTTATATTTACTAGAACACACCCGCGAAATCGAGGGCATTTAGAGCGTGGTTGAAAGTATGTAAACTGTTGAAGGAAGGATTTTTGTAAAAGATTTTATGACTGGAGAATTTCAGGAAAGGTATCAACAGTATCTTAAACATGAACTGATGTCAATATAACATTTGAATTTTTCACCAGTTCAAAATATTGGATGTAAATCTAAAGAATTCCAACAAAAAGGTCAAATATTTGTAGTAACATGATCATGAACGCACAATTTTTAGGAGGCGAGTTGCTTTGTCACCATGCTTTTTGTTTCGTTGTGCAGAAGACAGAATAATCGATATGTTAACCTTTTCAATTTCAGTCACTCAAAACGGATTCCACTAATGAAATCAGATTATTATGTGATATTTGCAAATAAGATTGGAATTATGAATAGAGCAATAATAAAATACTCAATAAACAATGCGATTTGTGCACAAAACCGTCATATTTTACTGAAATTTGGAAATGACGTCAGACTTAATAAGGTGTTGACTTTTAAGAAAGCAAATTAGTTCTAATATGGGGGTGCTTATTACGTCATATCATATCAATAGAGCCATAATAAAATACTCAATAAACCACAACCACTATAAATCGACGACGTCACAATGCGATTTGTGCACAAAAACGTCATATTTTACGTGTTGTTTTCTATTTTTTACTGAAATGGCGTCAGACTTTTCAGTGGGAAACTTTACTATATTAGAATCAAAATAATTTATGCATTCCATAGATTTGTTTTCATTTTCACATAGCCTGGGTCATTATATCTGTTAATTTTATCCCTTGCTTACGCTCAAGATTAAATTCCAATATAACGACCCAGACTATGTGAAAATTTTCAACAAATCTATGGCTGGCATGAATAATTTCTTAAATAAAACATGATTATATACCGGTTCCCGGGGTCCCAAGAAATCGGATTTTTATCGCTTCCAGGGACCGAAGGTTGTTTGTAAATTTACCAAAATTCTGTGTAATTTTAAACAGTCCTAAACGGAAGTCTTGCCTATGACGGAAACAATATCCGGACACCTTTGTTTACGTTTTCCTCCAAAAATAACCCAAACGGAATAATCTTAAGCGAGGATGACAAATGCGACTATACGTGGCACCTATAGGACACAGAGGCATGATGATTAATTTATTGTGGAAGGAAGAGAAGCGACACACAAAATGAGGTCTTCTCATTTAATAGTATAGATATGTTGAATATTTGGTTTCGGTTCTTTTATTATATAAATGGATATGATGATAATTTTTAACACTTGCATATATATAGTTGGCGCGATACATATATCTTGAGGACTATAGTGTATTATGAAAACAAATATGCTTTGCAGTATGGGTTTTGCTCATTGTTGAAGGCCTTCCGGTGACATATAGTTGGTGAATTCTCCGCCATTGGTCTCTGGTGGAAAGTTGCCTCATATCACATCTTCTTATATTTATATTTATAGATAATTGCCTTGGAATATATATTAAAAAGTAAATGAATACACAAGTTGATATTTTTAAATTTTTGTAGCCGGCCAAATAGAGTTGTTTGTTATTGAAATTTAAACCTTACCAATCACAAATTTAAGTGAAGGACAAAAGACATGTTGAATAAGTAAAATGAAATCGTTCATGATTGCAATAGAACTGTCGCAATTCCATCTTCTTTCCGTAAGGCATTCGCAATTCTATAATCCATTTAATCCATTAAAATCTACGCAGCTTCATCAGGAAACCAATCAGAAGCATCTTTTATTATAATTTTAAGATGGTGTGTATATTTTATTGAACTGATAGTTTCGCATCGTAGTGAGAAACAAAAAGCGCATCGGACGCATCACATATATAAAGTGTTATTTACTCATTCTATATCATATTGGGATCTTTCACATATGTAATCTTCGTTCAAAGCGCTTATTTTATTTGATAAGCCGATTTTTAATGTTTTACTTTTACAATGCTTAATGAGTGATAATTCATAGAGAATTCATTGTGACTTTGATGTTTATTTCTTATGAACAAGAGAAAGAAAATTTTAAATGTACAAATGTATGACCATGATTCCATGTAGGGATTTCGAGAGATGGCATGAGGTGCCAAGATGAAACCATTGATATTCCGTCAAATTTTCAGTGAAAGAAGTCAGTATATAATTAAGGAAATTGATTTTTCCAGATAGAGCTCGAAATTATTTGGTTCGACTCATTTCTCAGCAACATTTAAATATAATTTTGAGCATAAAATTCTAAAAGATCACATTTAGAAGCTGATATGAACATTAAATGAATTAATTATAAATAAGAAGATGTGGTATGAGTGTCAATGAGACAACTATCCATCCAAGTCACAATGTGTAAAAAGTAAACAAGTATAGGTCAAAGTACGGCCTTCAACACGGAGCCTTGGCTCACACCGAACAGCAAGCTATAAAGGGCCCCAAAAAGACTAGTGTAAAACAATACAAACAGAGTAACCAACGGTCTAATCTATATAAAAACGAGAAACGAGACCACACCAACAAACGACTGCCACTGAACAACAGGCTCATGACTTAGGACAGATGCATAAAAATGCAGCGGGTTTAAACGTTTTAACAGGCACCAACCTTCACCCTAACCTGAAACAGTGGTATAACATTACAACATAAAAAGACACACAATAAAATATCAATTGAAATGGCTTAACTCGATCAAAAAGACAGTACACAAAAACAAGTAAATATACACTGAACGAAAAAGTTTGATCTGTGACACAATATTAATAGAAAAGATGTTTAATGTCAAAAAAACAACTTTAACCTAGGATGAAATGGCGTTAAATAAAGTAACGTACACAGGTAAATTTAAATATAACATTTTTTTTGTTAGGAGTACAGAAACATTTTTTTTCAAAATAAATTTGTTGTTCATAGTATGAGTACAGAAGTGAATTTTTTTTCGGCATACTAAATACTTATCAAAGGGGGTACTTAATAAATATAGTAAGACTAGATATAACACAAAATAAGTAAACATTGAACAACAGAAATGCATTACAAATTGTGTCAACAGGTCAAATTAACACGAACGTACGATTTGAGAGTACTCGCAGTTACTGAAAGCTAGTTAAAAGCAAAAAACAATTAATAATAAAAAATCATACATCAGAGACTATTTTCACACAACTGGCCAATACGAAAACATTATTTTTGTAATTTTGTATATGAATGAATCTCATCTGGGATACACCCCAGAATAGCCCTATCTCACGAAGGCTGTAGCTTTTAGAAGCCATTGTTTTGCCAAAATAATGCTCTAATGTAATATAAAATGAAATAAAAAAGTAAACTATAAAAGAGAGATGGAAAAGGCAAATTTATAAGAAAGAATAACTCAAATATAACAAAGTGTGAACAACATAAACGTTGTGGATAGTGGAAATATGGTTTTCAAGTTGATTTTTATTACTAATATCAAGCAATATTGCTATGTGAAATTGCCGGTATCCTGTTTTGAATGTACAAATGTGAAGAACATCTTATTATTAAGTGCTCTTGTCATTTATAAGTGTTCTGGAAATTTTAATTTTGATCGTTTTTAGAATTACTTAATTCTTAATTAGTAAGATAATTATCTTGTATAGAGTTGTCCTGAAATGAGTGCAGTTTGTACATATATTTAAGATTTTATATGTTTGATAGACTTTGATCATTCAACTTACAGATATGTATTTAAGTAGAAAAGCCTGACCATAATTGTACGTATTCTCTGAAAATACAGCAATACAAATAATTATTTAATGTAAATTGCACGTTGGTGTAAACATTTTATTATCAAAATACCTGCCTAATACCATTTTTTTAACATAGTCAATAACCTCATCGTATATACCACGATTGAAATTTTTACGCCAGACGCGCGTTTCTTCTACAAAAGACTCATCAGTGACGTTCAAATAAAAAAGTAATAAATTGAGTTTTCTCTATCTTATTCAAAACAAAATATACATAGTACACAGACAAATGCGTATCCTTTCTACAACAATCAAACATCGATCATTTTTCACACAAAAAAGACATAATGGTATCCAATAGCTTAATACTAGTATATCATAAGGTATATGGTACAAAGTATATAAAATACCGTTACTTAATTTTTAAAGAATCATTTCTTTATTTACTCCTTAAAGTGACTTTTAACACAAATCACAGTTTAAAGGGAGGCGTTACGCGATCACAAACATGTATAGCCCCGCAAAGAAACAAATTTCTTGTTTTAAGTCATGAAAGATTATTTACCTTGTGAATAACCACACTGATCCCTATGACAAATAAACTGAGGAAGATATCATCAAAATGTTTTATAGACAACATGATTGATGAGTTTTGTTTATTGATGTTACAGCAGCCAGTCGTTATTCCAATGGGTACTAATTCTACTGATCGAATTTTTATTCATATAAAGCAGAATTCATACAAAATCTTCTCACAGACAAAAAGCAAAAGCATCTTGCGAAGTTATTTTATTCTTACCTTTGACATATTGATAATGTATTTCTCTCTATAAGTCACATTTCAGTGAGTTCCTACATCTAATATATCCCAGTCAACTTGATATTAATGATACTATTGAAAGTAGAAGGTCTTCTTCATATCTTGATCCTTTCCATGATATTAACACAGTGACGACTTCAAACTAGAATCAGTCACCAACGTGATGATTTCTACTTTTCAACTTCCACTTTGTTACCTTGATTTGTCTCTATTTAATCGATTTAAGCGAGTATGACATCGGTATACCAATGGCGCATTAATCTTAATGCTAGAAGTCGAGATGTTGCTTAATTTGATCATTTAACTGAATTTTTCCTGAGCGGTTCAATTTTGAGCCAAATACCATTTTAAAAACCATTTTCTCAGCAGTAACACAACCTCTTCTCCAACGTATAGCGTTCACATGTCTCAGTTAAAACATTACGCTCGTGCGTT